TGGGAAACAGTTGGGTGCTTTCAACCCTACAAATTGCCTTTCACCATCTGAGTCCCCAGGTGAAATGCAAATAAGCAAACATAATGCTTAAGACAAGGAGAGTCTTACTGGATACCAGATGGTTCATATGTAGATAAATGCATATGGATGCATGTGGGATTTCAGCCTGGCGTGGAGGCTTCCACGCTGAACAGGTTTTGTTTCTCTTCCCCAGTGGTGGGGAAGGAAAGCTACACTGAGTTTATAAGACCCTTTGGGAAGAGCCTCCAAAATGCACAGCCAGGCACGGAAGCAGTGCAGGTTCTGCAGGGTGTCTGCAGGGTATCTGCTGGAAATAAAGGTGAACAGCATTTGTTGTTGTTGTTGTTGACTGCATAAAGTACTATTCCTTTCATTTGTAAATCTTTGTAAATCTGTGCATTCTGCTCCAAAGAAGACAAAGCCTCTCAGTAAACAAGAGGTGCTTACATATATGTGCAGTGTGTTCCTGGGCTGCCAAAAAGTACTCTTGGGAAGCAAGCCAGAGTCACTCGGAAGCCTGGTTAGTATTTTCTTTGGAAGGTTGCTGCTGGAAATTACTGCTGAAACATTTTCAATGAGGTTCTTTCTTTCAATTAGACATATTTCTTCCCGAAACTTTCCAAGGAACAATATTTTTTCTCCAAAATACTGGCTAGCCAGAAACGAAGCACTCCAGCCAAACCTCAAACTATTCAATTAGTAAATTCTGCAGTGCCGCCTCCCTGGAGTTTTAATTCAGTTACTTTTTATCCCTGTTCCCCTCTCTGGGCCAAGTTCTCTGCTTATGCCACAATGCACTCTGAAATGTTAATTCTCACTCAGAAACTGTGAGACTTCCTGACATGGATGAGACCTTGGGGCACTTGGGGTGAGCTCCAGGATATAGATTAAATGGAACTATGAGACATTTGGACTTAAGCAATGCTTCATACTAAAGTTTTATCACAAGGTAACTGAAGCTTTTTTTGTATTTGGACGTCTACTGAATCAAAACTTTACCTGTTGGCCCAGGGAGGGATGGGTCTGGGAATTCAACCAGCAAAGTATCCCCTAGATTACCAGGCAATAATGTGAAGATGATTACTGACTGTCCTTAAAATAATAAAACTCTGTCCCATAGTAGACCTTTACACCACAATAAACCAAAACAGCAGCTTCCAGAGGCTCCTGGGCTGGGTACATGTAAAAACTGTCCTAAGGTGCGATGAGCTGCATGCTTCTGCAGAGGTGCAAGCAGGAGGAGCAAAAGGTACATAATTGAAAAGACTGCCCTGTCAGCTAGCACAGAAGAAGATATATTCCTGTATGAAGACATGATTCCTGAGATGATGAATTTTCAGTGGCAGTTATAGGAATCAGAGATGAGAGCGGTAGCCTTTCTTTCTCCTCACTTTGTTGTGGGCATAATGTGATTTAAATAGTTTTATCTTCTTTCTTGAAAGTCTTCTGTCCCCACCAGACAACACACCAGATGCTAGCAGGGAGAATGTCACCTTCCTGTCACCTCAGGAAAATATTTTTCGTTCCCATAACACAAACCATCAAACTACATAGGATAATTTAAAAATACGATGGTATTCTTAGTTGACAGAAGCAAAAGGTGATGTTTTCATATCTTATTAAGATATTGGATATTAATTCCCTTCTACTCAAATGCAAATATGAAAGTTCTTGTCACTAATGGAGGTGATGTTTTCATATTTTATTAAGATATTGGATATTAATTCCCTTCTACTCAAATGCAAATATGAAAGTTCTTGTCACTAATGGAGTAATATTTTAAAAAATTTACTTTGGAAACTATTTGCATTACCTACAAGTCAAGCCAAAAATGAGACTATCAGCTTTTTCCTTGCCAAAGCAGATTTACCATTCAGCACCTGTAATGAGAAGTTTTATTCAACTATTTATACTGTACTTACTGACTACAAGGTATCCATGATATATCTGTTACCTAGTTTAATATTTCTTATAGGTGCATGCTGAAAACTGCTCACATAAAAAAGCATGAGGGTAATTTGTCTCCAACTGGCATTCAGCCGAAAGCAGGCCTGCGCGCGGCTGCCTGGGTAGGCATACTTTCAGATCTTTGTATAAAACATTTCCCTTCCACAGTCATTCTTGAAAACATACTTTTCCCATATCAGTGGTCATGAATACCAAATAAAAGGTAAAGAAATTGCCCTCAACGGAAACTCTTCATTTTTATTTAAATGAATACTTAATGAATCTACTTAAGAAGTACTTGCCCCAGGATATTTCTAGAACTATCTGTGAACAGAAACCTGTAAAATTAAAATATTAAGTGTTAAACTTTTTATGGAATGGGATAAACCTTTCTTCCTATTTCAGGGTGCAATAAAAGCCCCGTGGCAAAGCGTACAGCACATGGCTGCTGACAGCGCAGAGCGGTAGGCACCTGGACACACTGCCTACGCTAAGACTAACAGGCAAAGTACAGCACACCCACCAGCTGGAAACTCTTCCCCTAACAGGCCTTCTGTTGGGAAAGGCAGAGTAAACACAGAGTCCTTAGGCTTTTTGATCCACCAGTTCAGCTCAAGCATGTTTGGCTATTGTCCTGGTGAAGGTGCTGGCCCATGTCTGAAGGAACGCAACTGTGATGAGCAGCAAAAGTTGCTACTTTACTTTAGGGGGGTGGGGGTGTTATATGTTGTTTTACAATGCAGAGCTTTAATTTGTAATATTAATAGAAGTACTTAATGAAATTTCATTCATTAAGTATCTTCATGCCCACAAGAAGATGACAGCTACTATCATTTGATGCAGAGAGAAGCAAAGAAATATCAGGCATCAGAGCTCATCTCTTGACTCGGACACTGGCCTTTCCCAGGCTTCTAGAAGATGGTCATTAAGTATCTTCATGCCCACAAGAAGATGACAGCTACTATCATTTGATGCAGAGAGAAGCAAAGAAATATCAGGCATCAGAGCTCATCTCTTGACTCGGACACTGGCCTTTCCCAGGCTTCTCCTCTAGAAGATGGGTACGAACCTCAGGCAGATTGCTTTGGTGTTTGCTGGAGAAGGAGGAGGAGACGTTCAAGAGAAACATCTGCAGAAAGGATCCTGCCAGCATGAGGGGCAGGCTGGAGCTAGCCAGGAGCCTGGAGTATGTGCGTGTGTGCTCTGGGACATGAGCACCAATGCCATTGCCACATGCTGTGATCAGCAGTAGTTTAACCGGAAGAAAAAATGCAGAGTGGAAGCAAATATATTTTATCTATTTTTTTTCACTCAGGATGATCGAAAAGCAGAGTTTGCTAATTCCTTAGAATTACCAATAAATAACTATAAATTAAAAACCAAGATCAGCCTCACTCAGCTCCACTGAACTGTGCCACTAATGTTTCTCACCCTCTCCAAGACCTGCAGCTCTACCAGCACCGTCCAAACACAAATGTTTCCTCAACCACCCCGGCGTGCTTAGCACACACTTTCTGTGCCGTTCTCTGCTTGTTCAAATCTCTGTTCTTTTTCTCACGTCTCTCACCCTGTCGGGTTTTCATTGAAATGAGATTATTTTTGCTCTTTTTTCCTTCAGTCTTCATATTAGATTTCGTTTTAATTTATTTACTGACCTTTTCCCTTCTCCTAATGGTTTTGTTATTGAATGTGCGATACCACAAGAGACTAAACACCTCTGTTTATGACCTCAGGGTTTTCCAGGCTTGCTTTTATATCCTGCAATGTAATTCTGTATTTTTGAGACCAGTCCTAGCCCCTGGAAACCGGTGAAAAGCTCATTACTGATTCCAGAGGGACAGGACTGAGCACTAAAATCAATGAGACTCTAGGATCAAACTTTTTACAGCTCCAGCTTACTTCAATAGCAATCCCCCTTGCGCATCTGAGGACGCAATCCAAACCACAAGCCAGTAAACAATTAATTGACCTATTTTTTAAGAGGATATGTCAGAGTTAATGGGCAAGGTACTTAGGCAGCTTGAGGCAGAATTGGGGTCTCATATTTTTAATGCTTCATATGTTTATAGGTATTGAACTCTGAAGAAAAATGGTGATCATCATCATTGTACATTCCTGCCAAAAACACAAGTCAGAGAATTTCACTGCGCCCACCTCAGCACGTCAGAGAAGCGTAAAGGTTAATTATCCTCACATTTAAAATATACTCTGTATTTACAGTCTGGATTTCGCTTAAGCCCCTCACTACAGGCTCTCTAAATTTCTCTTTTCAACTGCATAAACCTCTGCTCGCTTCTCTCAATATAAGTACTTAGAGAGTGTGACCAGATTCTGAAAGCCATAAATTCTGTGAATTTTGTAATATTTTGTGAGATGCCTCAATATTCCTTTCATTTGCCATTTTTTTTTTTAACTATAAATAGAGCCTTCTTTCTGCAACCAGTCTCCAAAGGTCACCTTACAATGTTTTGCTATTTCCCATATTAAGCAGCAATGCTTTTCAGCTGACATTCCAACTTCAAGTCATGCAATACGAGCATGATGTGAGCTTGCTTCAGACTACAGTGAGAGGGCTGCAAATGAGACTGCTATATAATTGCTAAGAAAAATAACATCCATTGTCAAAAAGGGCACTTCATCAAACAAAATTTAGCTGCATGAATACAAGTGTCTCCAAATATTTGGTTCATGCTAAAAATATAGCACATTTATTAAAAATATATATTTATAAACATTGATATGAACAGACACAGATGTTAAGCAAATGAGAAAGGAAAAATAACCATGTATTTCTCCCAACATTTTATCAGGTTTAGGCAGACCTTACTCGATGGAATTGTTTTTTTCATGATTGCACCATATGTTCATTCTAAATAAAAAGCTTGTCAGATTCAATGTAAGTAAAAGCAAATAACAAGAGGAAAAAATGATTTGACCTAACGGACACGTGATCTGTGCTATGATGCTATCTTTGAGTTCAGTCTTTGCGAGTATACAGTATACATTTCTAATTGTATTTAGTGTACAGTTTCTTTCTTTCTTTCTTTCTTTTTTTAATTGTGTTAAAACACCATATCCCTCGTGGATTTCTTCAAAGCTACAACTTACATAATTGCAGTCATTTTCCCCCAAACCGAAAGGAAGAGGGCAGGACAGAAGAGTTAAGCTTGTTACTGTGTGAAAAAGTCTTGTTAAATTAATTGTGCTTCAGCCTTCACTGCCTGCAGGCAGTGCTTTTATGATGTGTTAATATAATACACAGTCAATTCTGATTAAACAACTTGTCAATAGTCAGCAATGTTTGTCGTCACTCTTAATGGCCATTTTATCTGGTCTACTTGCATGCCTTCTAGTTTACAACGTTGTGTAAATATACACAAAAATGATCACAATGAGGTTCAGAATTGTCCCAATAATTCCAAGCATTGCCAAGATGGTTTCTTCTTTGCTTTCCTTTTCTTGACTCCCTTTATCTTCTTCATTTCCACTAGTGATTACCATCTTGGTGGCCAGTTTCTTTATCCTTCCCTTCAGGATAACCTAGATTTAGGAAGAAAAACATCAAAATGGATTGTTAGTTTGAGTTTCCAAGCTCATATTAACAGTGGAGCCAATTGCAGAATTTTTGCCACATAACACTTAATATTAAGAATTTACTTTAAAAGGATTAATATTTTTATTAGTTATTTAGTAAATGCTTAATTAAAATGATAGTTCAGCTAGCCTGTAGATTACTTATAACCCTCCATAACACTCTCGGCTTATGAGAGAGTCATTACCAATCATTCGTAACACATATAACTCATCTGCAATGTCGTTATAAAACTGGTTAGAAATGTACGAATGAGGTGTGACTCCACACAGTGGGGACTTTGCCTGCATTAGGACTGCAGGAGACCACCTTGTCAGGTTGCAGAGACCCTAGATTTACACTTCAGCACCAAGAAGCAAGAGGGTGAGGGAAATAAAACTGGGAAGACCTTGTTTCTTTTTAATAGGAAAAAACACCAAAGACAAAGGCATTTTGTCTCCTGACAAGAAGGAAGACAGCAGTGACTTCCCAATAAATAATTCAAAATAAAAGCAAAACCAAAATAACATCCATCTTGGCTTTTATTTTCCTCATTCTTAATGTACGATGAAAAGTTACTTGCAGTGCAGTGAGCTGAAATGTATTGATCTGCCTGCAGGGAGGATACAGCCATTTCCCAAGCAGCAGCCCCAGCCCCTGAACTGCTTAAAAAAGAAGGTTCTTCAAGTGCAGGACTAGCCCTGACTCCTCTCACTGCTGGAGCCACAAACAAAGAAGCTCCCTTGCTCTTCCAGCCAGGTGCTGAGACCTGGGTAAACATTTGATTGTTCAGATTAGAAATGGATAAATTCTATTTATCTGTGCTTATCTAACGCTGCAAATTCTGATCTCGCAGGCAAACCAAAGCACCCCAGAAAACTGAAAAAGGCTGGCTGGTTTCCCAAAGCAAACTGATCTGCCAACAGCTGGGTTCAGGCGGTGCCCTGCTGTTGTCTCCCAAGCTGCAAAACACCCGTGATGTTTCTGCTGCAGGAAGCAGTGGTAGGATGTAGAAAAAAGTGCTCCCCAACAGCTCCTGCCTATAGGAGGGGTTTGGTTGGAGGAGAAAGGGGGCACAGGCACTTCCCTCATTCCTCCCTCCGCTAACCCACGGAGAAAAACCACTAGATCCCACGCAGCACAGATGTTCAGGGTGGGAACGACTACCCAGGAACTGGCCACTGCCTGCAGAGGCACATTTCCCCCCCCAGCAGGTATCACCAGAGGGGAACCCTGACCTGCAGCTCCACCGAGCTCCTGGGCTGCACAGCAAAAGGATTAAAAGGAGTGGGAGAGGTGAGGAAATCCTGTGACACAGAGACTGAGAGGAAAATCAGAGAATCCAGACAAAACAACCTGTATTTTGTTGCATCTGCAAGTTGTTCATATATAGGACAGCGAGTAACTGCTGGCAACTTCCTAGAAAGGGCGTCATGGTTGAATCCCATCAGGTACAAGCGATTAGTGGTAAGGCAGAAGCGGGGCTCTACGGAGGTGCTGCTGGCCTTTATACTTATGCATTAAGTATATGCATTAGCATTTACATGTTTTGCCTTAGCGTCACCAAGTGATTCAGCAGAAAACAAGAACGAGACAGGCAGTAACCTGAGGGTACCCACGGCAGACGCAGGTCAGCAGGAGCAGGGGGCACCAGGCAGAGGGATACTGCATCAGACATCAGAGTGTGCTCATCCAGCAGGTCTTTGGGTAACCTGCCCCAGGAGAGCAAAACTTCAGAGGCACCAGGCACCTCCCAGGGCACGCTGGTTCCTGCCGCCCCCCTCCAGGTTCTCTTCCAGCCCTCAGAAACTCCCTGGTCCCCACTGTTCCTCCAGCCACAGACACCTGAAACTCTTCCTGCAGGACCTAACTCTTCCAGCAGCAGAAGGGCTTCGTCATATTTGCCACTGGCTTATGTCCAGAGGAGGGCTTAGTTCAGCTTTGCATCTGGTGGGTGCCCTCCCTACTTTATTAATTGCCACCATGCAGTCTTAACAAGCAAATTGGCTCTAGTAAGTCACAGGAGAATTCCTACCAAAGCCATTTACATTAGCCTCACAACACAAGCGCATCCACTCCGTGTGGCATTGGACCACAAACCCACATCCCAAGCTATGACACGCTGTCATTACTTCACCCACAAAGCCATGAGTCATTTGGATATCATGTTCTTTTCCCCTTCAGTAACTGGGAGTTTTTCCCTCTGGCCAAATGTTTACATTTCATTGTTTATTTGAAAAATCAAGTGGGATCACAAATAGGATCTGATAAAATCCCAGGCCTGGAACACAAGGATTCGAGAGGAGGGTGAAGTCCCTGCTGGCTGGTTCCCACAGAGCTGAGCGCTCTTGATTCAGCACCTCTGGCTCCCACAGAAATACAGTCATACACAAGCATCTTGTGGGCCAAGCCCTTCTGGTTCTGAAAAAAGCCAGAGAAGGTACAATGGGTCTCTCTGCATCCCATGGTTTGGAAAGAGTTTCCCATTCACATCAACCTAAACCCACACAGAGCAGTGCAGAGCCCCAGCTGGGGTAGATTTGCACATGCACTGCATCCACCGACACTCTTAACTTGGGCATGGTGACTCTGCACCACATGTGCTAAGACAATCCTGTGAGCAGAGGCAGCATGGAGGCATCTGAACCCCTCTTATTAACATCCCCAGTCTTTTCTTAATAAATCCAAACTGTGCAGCATGAAGTTAAACTGTCAAACTCCTTCCTGCAGGACGCTGTAGATCCTAAAATTAACATAATCTAAAAGTAGCTAAATAATTCGCAAAAGAAAAAAAAATATCAAAGGCATATAAAGACAAAGCCTCTGGCTTAGGAAATCCTTGAGTTGTGAATTTTTTGGAAGCTAAGAAAGTATGCTGGGGACGTACCACCACATCCTTGCCTTGTTATTAAAGTCTTGCCCGGTCACCCTTTACTGGATACTGTGAGAGAGGGGGTCCCTGGGCTGCACAATCTCTGATCTGAGGTTGTACAATCTCTCTTCTCCTCTTTGCAAGTTCTAATTAATAGCAAGGAGATACCAAGTGGTTTCAAATCCAAACATTGCCAACGCGACTCAGACTGCCAGATTATTTCTCTCCCACTAAGGGGCCTTAACTGAGGGAGAAGGTCCTCAGTGTGATGCAGTGAAATATGCATGGACAAGCTGGTGACCGGGGCCACGATGAACATGAAGGAACAACAAGGAGACAACAGCAGCTGCGAGTTTATACATGGGCTGATGCACAGTGTGATCTGTTGGAGGTCATCTCTGTTGCTCCAGTCATGTCTATGTGCTGTATTTGGCTCACGCTATGATGGAGCCTGGGACTGCATGAACTGCATCCTTTTTGGATGAAACTATACCCAAATACGTGCTCCAGGAGCTCTTCATGTGCTGTAAAAACAATAAAAGAAATTTCAGTCCATGGGAGCAGGGGTCCAGACAAAAGCTCGTCTGAAGTAAAACCCCCAAAATACATGTACCGTGGACACTGGCACCATTAGTTTCCCTGGAGGGATTGCTCCAGCGGGTCCACACTCCTCGCTATTTTATACATCACCTAAACTATGAGAGAAAGAGAGCACAATGGGCTTGGTATTAAAAGGCATTTAAAATTCAAACAGGACAAGACTGGGACCAAATACAATTATATTAATACTTTGCCAAATTTAGCACTGTTGAAATCAAGGTAAGCGTTGACTTGGAACTGTGAGGAGACCAGAATCAAAATTACTTCTCCACATTTAAAGACTGACCTTGGGAGAAGAGGAGCACTCTCCTAATGACAGACTCAAGCCTTTAACCTTCACAGATCTCATGCTCAGAGCGGTATTTTGGCTGGCTGGGGTTTGTGGGTGTTTTTTGCTACTGGGAAAATATTTGCTGTCAGTTTTAGTATAATTACCCCAATTAAGAAAATAGAAAAGTCTTCTGGCTATCTGGGTACCATTTTTCAGCCATTATTATTCTCTTCTGGAAATTGATTTCATTTATTTAATATTGTTTCATATTTTTAAGACTCTTATGACACATTGCTCCTTTTATATTTTTCTGGTGGGACTTCATGCTTGTCAGAAACACTCCTTTTCCTTACCCAGAACTACTGCTAGAACTGCTGAGATAGGAAGGATAGAGAGCACTAGATTTACCAGTTCTTTAATAACTATCCTTCTTATTTAATGACTACTTCATTAGGAAAGCGCTTTCCTGCCACATCAAAATTAATGTGTTTTCTACTTTATTTTGTAAGATTTATCGTTAACCTAACATCAGCCTTTTGAAAAGACATGTATTTCAAAAAGCTATCCGTGAAAAGATATGTATTCCATGTATTCTGCATTGCATGAGGGAGATAAGGACAGTTCAGTGGTTAGGACACTCCTTGCACTATTGATCTCCTTGCGCTACTGCTGACTTCTTATACATCTACGGGAAATCCACTTAGTCTCTCTCTGCCTCAGTTTCTCATCTGTTGGATTCCTTGAAGAACTGCCCAGTCTGTGTCAGAAAATGATCCATAACAAAAGTGAGGCCCTGCAAATACTTCCAAAACAGGGAGACGCTAACATGAAAAATTTCAAATCCAATAGTGCTATAAAATACACCCACTACCATCTCCCCAGATCTGTGGGACCTGTTGCATATCATTGTCATTGCAACCAGTCCAGTGAACCAGGCAAAGTATTTCTAGCAAATGGAGATAATCCTTACTTGTCTCTTCACTCTCAGCATGAGCCGTGACTGAGCTAAAGGTGATGGCTTAGCGGCAGGGCTTTGGAAAAGGCAGCAGCAAGTGCACGTTCATGAATTTACTGCAGTATGTTTGTCGCATCGAAGGTAAAAAGCACATCCCTCGCAAAGTACCTGCCCCAACATATCTGTCAGCTTTTGAATATGCTGGTACCTTGACTTGCTCTTGAAAAAGTTTTGTAATCTTAAATCATTTCTCTTCTAAGTCATTATTTAT